TAGAAGATTTGAAACATAATTTTTGGATTTCATCTTTCAAGAATTTATTCAACCTTACATGGTAGGATATCAAGGTGCAGTATTTTATGTCCCGTTTAATTATTTTTTTACATGTTGATGAATTTTGTACATACGAAAGTTAAAGTTATGATATCAAATGCTATGATATGAATGATATGGTCATTTCTGGTACAATGATATGATATGATATGAACTCTTACCAGATTCTAAAGATATGAGACGGTATGATATTCTAACACGTGTTTAAAATTATTATTCGAAATCGCACCATTAAAATTTTATATCTTACTGAGTATTCCCATATACTCACCATTTTCCCTACTCCTCACAAGTTAGACCAAATCGCGTCGAAGCGTGGTGGTTTGATTGAGTGGTTGTGTCTCGTTCCACTGGACAAAAATCAATAGTTTTAGCACTTAATTTTATTTCTTTTAAGTTTACTGCAATGGATATTTATTTATTATTAAATTCTCGTGCGTGTTTATTTGCATAGAAATATATGCGGGTTGCATTTTAAATAAAATTTGAATTAAATGTTATTCCTTTTAGCGATTTTCCTGTTTAAAGGCAGTTGGTTATGATTTTACTATCATATTCATGTCAAGGATTTTTTTGCACTTTTCTGTAGTATTATTAGCCAGCAGTATATGAAATTTTCCCAAAATTTATGTAAAGCAAAACATTCTCACTTGTCACATCATGCTTTCATTGTTTCTTTGGGTACCACACGGCAAATGAATATTTTAAACATAGTTGACTAATATCCACACATTAAGCCCCGTTTGAGCTCCATTATATCTCACTGCATTAAATTAAAATTTTCTCTTTCCTACTTTTAATCAAACAATCTTCAATAAAATAATATTTCATGTAAATCAAAAAATTTTCAACCACTCATTTAAAAAAAAATACTATTAATCTCATTATAATGCCAAATAATGAGACTCAAACACACCCTAAATATATGTCTAGTGTGTGAATTCAAATTTTAAATTTTTGGATCGTTACAATCATCAACTGTGATGAAACATTAATTAAGTCCTTTATCTATTACACATAGCAATTTAGTCCTCTATCTATTATATTACAATATCTAATGATTAAGAAACAACAATTTAGTCCTCAAATTGCGAGGAAATGGAAATTTTGTCTGTTGAACTATTATGAAACAGTAGTTTGATCATTCAACTAATAATAAACAACAATTTTGTCCTCATACTATTATTGAATGTACGAGTATAAAAGAGAAAGTTTATACTTTATGACAAAAATTAATAGAATATATCTCATCATTGCCACGATATAATTAGGAAGTACAAAAAAGTAAACATTTATACGACAGAAGACAAGTATGGACTTACATTAATTTTGAATATTAATCGAATCATAATTTTGACGATTATATAAATCGTTACACTTACAGAACCACATTTTGCAGTAAGTCCTTATAGGGTGATTTGTTCCCTATGATAGTGGTGCTGTCTTACCCAACCAATGAGAAGGTTGATTAGACAACCTATATCATGAGCCTAGGTTGTAGGCAAGATTTGCATCAATGTCGCCAGTCCACCAATGGCTGTTGACCAAGCTCACCGTTTCATGCCTTTCAAGGAACAATTACTGTAGCTTGACTTCAAGGACAGGTATCCACTTCAATGTTTTATTTTTTGATACCCAGGTATTCCAACTTTGTCGGACTAAATCCTGGATCTCTAGCCATCGGCCCCTCAATGACTCGAGGAGGTAAATCGCAAGTTATGTCCTTATTGGCTCCCAGGTTCCGACTTGATTTATACTTCTGGCCCTAAGAGAATCCTTCTCATTGCGTTGATCATAAATCGAACTCTCCACGCTGAGATTGCAAACCCGCCATAGTGATTGTTCCACCAACTCGGATGTGCCCTGGAGGGCATATCCACTTCAATGTTTGCCTATAGAAAGGGAGGTCATTTCCTTCCAAGGGATAAGAAGAATTCTCGCCAAGTATCATAGGCTCAACTAATGGTAACAATGGGCCGAGCCGAGCCCATCTATCCTCGAGCTCGGCTTGTCAAAGCGATGAGTCAGAGCTCCAACTCGTCCAAGCACAAGTCGAGCTCGACTTGACCCACGAGCTTAAGATTTTTTTTTTTTGACTTTTTTATTTACTTTTTTTATGAGTCTACGAGCTCGTGAATTTTAGGCTTGTGGGTCGCTCAGCTTGTCGAACGAACCAAACACTCAACTCAGGCAAGAGCAATCCATGGGTCGGACTTTAACGAGACTAGCCAAGCCGACGAACTACTCGACCCTACTCTCACCTTAGGATCAACTCTTACATTACTCTATTCATAATCAATGAAATTCACGTTTCTTTTTCATTTCGTCTTAAGTTGAATTAGACAATGTCACATCATTTTAACCATACATATTTAGTCTTAAGTTTAACCATACATATTTAGTTCCTGTTTGATAGCTATTAAAATCAGATTTTTAGTAGATTTTAATAAACTTTGATGAAATGTATGATTGAAAAGATTGTGTGGCCCATAAAATATGTAAGTAAAATTGATTGTAAACTTTGTATTAGATTAAAATCTAAATTTTAATTAGTACTAAACAGGGGTTTAATATTCCATGACATTATCAATTTAGTGATTTAATCGTGTAAAAGGCGCAACTAACTTTTCCAATTACTTACCTCTTTATGTCAAATACTGTTGTAACAATAATAAGATAAACATTTAAACATACATATTTAATATTTGACGACGCCACCCATTTAGTGATTTGTCGTGTAAATGCACAACTAACTTTTCCAATTATATATTTCTTTATATCAAATATTATTTGTAAGCAACAATAATAAGGGCTTGTTTGCTAGAGGTGGGAATTTCATGGATTTCTCAATTTGCCATGTTTGATGCCCTTTTTTTTTTTTTTTTTTTTTTTTTTTTGGAAATT